GTGTTTATATTTTTTTATGCCTAAAGCCAAACCAGTAAGCCTACACTTCTCCTCTCTTTTTCTCTCTCTCCAATACTTAAGCATATTATATTGCTTAACATGTATTAGTTCTGAAAAAGCACATTGGCCTGGAAATGATGAACTGAATTTGCTTGCAATAGTAGCCTAACTCTGCATATTTTGTCTTCTTCTTTCCATACTTTGTGCTTCTTGACAGCATTGATGATACTTTTGTGTTTTGACATCCTTTGGACAGCTTTGACATTGGAACTGAGTTTTGAAATTTAAGCATGCTTTAGGACATTCAGTTTGTAACTTGGACTTTGTTATTTGCCTATGCTGTCTTTGAACTATGCAGTTTTGACAAACTTTGAATTGTGCAATTTTTAACTTGTGCATTCATTTTTAATTTGCAAATATTTTCACCCTTCTTTGTGAACCGGGAGAAATCCCGTGATTTGCAGAGAGGGTTAACTGATCCCGGCCATTTGTTTTTAATGATGAACCCAAAACTTTAATTGTCTGCTTTTAATTATTTATCTGCTTCTAACTTTTCTTCTTTTCTTTTGCAGATAAAAAATTGAATGGAGAGGATTTAGCAACAGATGAAGAATGAAGAACTGAAGAATTAGAAAAAATTAGGATATTCTTATTTTAAAATTAATTTTTGTAACTATTATTATTATAAATACCGTGTAAATGAATACTTGTATTTACATAATAATTTGTAACAAATATTTAAAGATGAAATAAAAATTCTTTTTTATCCAATTAATTCTTTTTATCCTTTTTAATTATTTATTTTATTATTTATAATTCTAAAATTATAATAAATGGAAATAAATTCCAATTATCTAAACTCAGAATAATAAACAATTAAATAAACAATGTTTCAGCATCGATCGACTAATAAATCTGGTGCTTCACAAATCCAAAGCAAAGCACAGTCAATCACAACAACTGCCCAGACGTATTTTCCCTTTACTGATTCTAACCAAACACTGCAAATTCAATCCCAATGCATCCTTTCACTGATTCAGTCACACAATGAGAATTCAATCCAAATGTTTCAATCCACATCTCAGCATAACTTGAAAAACACTGTAGAGTTAAACCTTTCTGAGGAACCGCGCATAAAAAAAAACTAATTCCTGATCAAATGCCAAAGAAACGTTCGCATGATCAAAGTTGAGCCAAAATCAACCAAAACCCTAAGCAACTGTAAGAACTGTTCTGAAGCCATGAAAATCAATGAACACCCTAATTTTTGTCTGACTGACGAGAGAAGTCTGTTTGACCGATTCTCGATCCAGTTTGAAAAATCAGGAAACGCCTGAAGCTGTGATTTCTTGAGGAAAAATGCGAGGGCAAATTTTGGGGTACAACAGGAAGTATTTCCACCTGCTGTGCGTTGTAAGTGGCTCTTGCAGGTGCTCGGGGAAGTCGAAATCCTCGGGCCTGGTCACGGAGAAGGCAGTTTGAATGGGCACCGACTCGTCAGATGGTCGGGCGTCTTCTTCTGGCTCCCTGGCTTCTTGGGCGTCACGACGGGGAGCGTCGCTTCGCCGGTACTATGCGAGCCTCCCTCCCTTGATGAGGGTTTCAATGGCGTCCTTGAGGTGGACGCAATCCTCAGTCAGGTGACTATGGCTCCTATGGTACTGACAATATTTATTTTTGTCTGCTCCGGGCTTAGCGGGAGCAGGTCGGGGACGTTTGACACCGCCGTCCTTGAAATCAGTGATGGCACACTCCGCTAGAATGCGCTCGCGGGAAGCCGTGAGCGAAGTGTACTCGGTGAAACGCCCCGAAGGTCCTCTTTGTTCCCGGACTTCCCGGGGTCTGTCTTCCTTCCTTTTCTCCCCGGTTCGTCGAGGAGGAGCCTCTTGGCGCGAGCTGCTGTTGGGACCACGAGTCTTGGAATCTCGGGCTCTGTTGGCCGCCTCCCTCTCCTCGTAGTCCATGTATGCTCGGGCCTTTTCGAGGAGGGCGTCGAATGTCCGAGGTGGCTCGATACCCACAACCTTTCTAAATTCCGTGCCGGGGAGGAGCCCTCTCTCCAGCAAGTATCTTTTCATATGGTCCGGGCAGGGGACCTGTATTGCTTCCCGGTTGAAGCGGTTGATGAATTCCCTCAAGGTTTCATCCTGCTTTTGGATGATGGCGGCGAGAAGCTGTGAAGGAACTGATGAACTGGTTCTTCAGGTTCCGCCACGAGGTGATTGAGCCCGAGGCGAGTCCTTTGTACCAGTTCATTGCCGCCTTCCTGAGAGTCGTGGGGAATAGACGACACTTGATGGGCCCCCCGACATTGTGATAATGAAGCATAGCCTCGAACCCGTCTATGTGGTCGACCGGGTCCGCGACTCCATCGTACTCCTTCAAGTGTGGGGGCTTCTCCATGCTCGGGGGAATGGGTGCCTCCATAATAGCCTGTGACAGGGGACCGCGAGGGTCGTCCTCGTCGCTTCTCTCCGGAGACAGAGATGGGGACCTGTAATATTGTCTAGCACGACGGTCCAGATCGTGATGAGTTTCTCTCGAGCGGGATGCTCGGCTGTTGAATTTCACACGCCCATCTCCGGAGTGTCTTCTTTCTAGTACCGCCGGGTCGCGACTGGGCTCTCCGGCCTGAATGATGGGCTGCCTCTCCATATAAGGCCGTTTCTGTTTTGGCCGGGGAGATGGGCTTCGAGAGGTCTCTCTGTAATGTCTCCGCGGGGGAGAAGGGTGTCGAGTTTCAGTCACTCGAGGAGGGGGAGTATGTGTTCTCCGGTGCCTCCTCGGGGGTCTTCGCTCGTCTTCAAGCGCCTTTAGTCTCTCTCTTTGGGCGAAGATGAGATAGTCTATTTGATTAATTGCTGCAAACAGCGCTTGTGTTGTGGCGTCCGCCCCGGAGGGGACGGGGACTTCCTGGAACCGGGCGGCTCTGTAGTGCGCGAGGGCCGCCGGTAGCTCCGTCCCTGTAGGAGGAAGTTCCGGGGGCGGTTGTTGCAGGAATGGTGTTATGGCCGGGATTGTCGGCGTTGTCAAGATGTCCATTTTTGTCCGCGGTGCCGTTATTAGTGTCGGCGACACGGACGTTCTGCTCGTCGCGAGCTTGATCAGCCATGACAGGTAGTTGAATTTAAGCTTTGGTCTTCGAGTTTGCAAGACGGGGAAGCTAGTTTCCCACAGACGGCGCCACTGATCTTACCTGATCAGACTTGGACCGTCACGGCTGGCTCCGAGCTGAAGTTTTGAACGAGGTGGGGGGAGTACCTGCAAGACACTCCGGTGCTGAAGTGAGTAAGAGCACGAGCAGGCAATATTAAAAATATGGGTAGAATGATGAATACCTGACCCTCTGGAAACAGAGGGTATTTATAGCCCCCAGCGCTGGGCCAAGGTTCCTTCATTGGGTCGGGCAGGTTTGACCCAATGGAGGAACTGCCAGGTTCTACGTGCGTAGTGGGGACCTGGGCGTGGTCCCCTCCCTGGATGTTCTGCGTGAAATGCGGGCGGACAGAGACGCGGTCTTTTCGGAGTCCCGTTGAGAGTGCAGTGGACTGAGTCTGCCCTAGGAGGGGTGCTCGAGCTGGACAGTAGGAGATCGAGCAAGTAGCCCCAGGGAGTACGTCGGGCACGACTGTGATCCTTTGGTCGGCGTGACCCCCAGCAAGTCCGTTTGGATTGAGTCTTATCAATGCTATTGGGCCAGTCGGGCTCAGTCCAGAACAAATATAATTAATCATTATCTTAAAAAACATAAAAATCTCAAAGAATGGAATATCATTTATCATTTTATGATTAATTAAAAATCAATACAAAAAATTTACAATGATGTATTTCTTTTTCTATAGTACCATTAACTTTTTAGTCTCATTGTACATTTTCCCCTCTATAACAAATAGTCACATAATTTTGATAAACTACTAATGTTTTTTTATTTTTGAAAATGACAAATTAATATTATAAAATTTTAAAAAATGGACACTTTATTAAGAACAGGGGAGTATTTCTTAATTTTGCAACTTAAAGAAATAAACAAGATTGTCAAGATTGAAATCTTGCATTCTATAAGTGGAAGATCGTAAAACATACGATCATAACAAAATTCATACGATATTACTAAAACGAAAAAGAATACCAGTAATGTATATTTGAAACTTTTGTACAAGATCACAAGGAAATAGTAAGATAACACATTCAATCATAACAAAATTCATAAGATAGTACTAAAACGAAAAATAATACTAATAATATATATTTGAAACTTCTTTCCCACGTAAACATAATTGTTGTGACTCGACATCTTGTCATATAATGGCGGTGATCTTGTTCATGGTCAAAACCGGCAAAGATCGTAAATAATCAATGATTTTGCCCAAAATTTAACTACAACACGCGATTCTACTTATGATCAAAATCGTTGGGGTGAGTGGAATCACAAAATCGTAAAACTTTTAAGATCTAGATGGTGATTTTGACAACCACGGATATAAAGTTGACTAGTTGATTGAGATGTAAGGAGTGTTGTAATAAAAACCATTACACATTAACCCTTGATTGGTATTTGCATATCCATTCACATCAAAATCTGCATTCAAATGCTCCTCGCATGAATGTTACAGTACAATCTAAGGTAAGGTCAATCTTTCCATTCAAAAAATTTGTCAATCATTTTCATCCCAAGCAAATTCATGGCAGCAGATACAAGCTATAACTAGTGTATGATGTGATTAGATCAGCGTTAGCACAACAAGACAGGCGTGTAACATCATCCACTATACATCGCTTGCTAAAGAATACAATAATCAAATGTTTATTATGTACATCCATGAGATCTTCTATCGATTTTTAATGGAAGTGAGTGACTATACTGACTGTTTCTTCTTTTAAGCTAATCGTCGAACTTGCAACAACAGAAACAGTAAAGAAGAAACTCTGATTTTCATCAGCCGCCAAAAAGTAGAGAACTGCTTACACTATACTGTTTGATGTCGTGGAAATTTGGAGATTCACAACATTCTGTTTGCCTCGATCATCAAAGCTTTCCCCTGTTAAGAGTAAAAAAGGAGATATGTTGTTATACAGTCTATGACTTTTGGGTATCCAACATGTGCCGGTGACACCAACATACGTGGTTATGGTATGAAACATCATGCATAACTTCTCTTGAGAATTTAGATTCAAGGGAACAAAAGTCAAGATGAAAGTGATGCAGTTATATTATATGGAAGGGGATACATGAGAGAGAAAGAGAGACCTCATTTTGCGAGCCATTTTCAGAGGGAAACCAGTGCATGAGAACACCCAGATTCATGACAGCCGGAATCAATTTAAACAAAAGCGGCGTTGTGACCTGTAAAACATGAATTTTATGGCTAAACAATAAGAATGAAGGAAAGAATGGATGAACCTCTGATTGAATGAACCTTACCAGACTGAGAGCCGTTGTCCCTAAAAGGAGAAGATACATTTTCCCCTAAAATATTGTAATCAATGGTTAGCAAGAGGGACCCAAAAAAGTGAGGAAAAAATAAGAAAAGTGAAAAATGACACAAATAGAAATCACCCAGAAAAGGAATGGGGAGGAATACATGAATAATCTTTGAAACAATCAACAGAAATTACAAAATCTGAGCAGCAGAAAAATCTATAATGTCAAGCTTAATGAAGCAGAGACGAAAGGGGGATAGGATAAAAACCTCAACAAGATGAAGATTGGAAGCACGACCCAGCAGAACAAAAGCAAATTCTCCAATTTGAGCAAGTGAGATACCAACCTAAGTTATTATGAAGAGATAGGTATTGAGCATTCAAAATATGAAAGCCAATAAAGTTAACCAAAATATAATATCATAAATATATCTATGCAACAGGCTATATACTTACAACAAATGCTGTCTTAAGACTATAACCAAAGGCCTTCGTAACTATAGAAACAACAGCAGTCTTAACAACCACCACCAAAATAACAGATGCAAGCAATATATCAACATGGTTCCAGAGGAACTGAACATGTATAAGCATTCCAATACTTGAGAGGAAGAGAGCTGCAAATAGGTTCCGAATTGGTTCCACCTATTATAGTACATAAACATAAATGTATTTTGCTAATATTGAATCCATATTGCATAAATAGAAAACAAAAGAGTAAAGTCAAACGAACAATACCTGGTCCAAAGTATGTTGAGCAAAGTCTGTTGTGGAAATCATAACACCTGCCATAAATGAACCCAGCTCAAGACTAAGACCAAGCTTATCACTGCACTGGAAAGTGATTTTAAAACGTTAACAAAATGCACATCATCGCAAATAATTAACTCTAGTAAACTCATATTACGACCCACGTTACACAAGACCGTGAGTTCTAAATCACTTCTCTAAAATTCATTTATTTTCTTTCTTACCCATGCAGATAACAAGCAGAAAGCAACAGCGGCTAGCTGATAAAGTTCATTTGTCTGGAGAATGGAATAAAAAAAAAAATCATGAACTGCACATATTGCTAATAAGTTGGCAGTTAATAAAATAAGATTTAGCCTAACCTGAGATGAGAGCCGCATCATCAGTTTGAGAAAGCGAGGAACAAACGACCAAGTCAGTATTGATGTAGCAGTGAGATACAAGGACAGTACTAGCAACCTGAAGTTAAAAACTGTTAGAATGTAATAAAATATCTTCTAATATTGGTATTTTATTTTATTGGTAACTAATATCTTTACATTATATTAGAGTAACTTAATTTACCAATTTTTTTATTTATCATTAGCAAAAAGGAATTTATAAAATAACACAAAATTCAGAACAAAAAGTCCATATGGACACTTACAGTTTTCCCATTGAAATAATCCCTTGTAAAAGACCACTGTTACCACCCAAAACAGGGAGTAAAGCAAATAGTAAACCCACTGCACAATCCTGAGGAAAGAATGAAATAAAAGTTGAGATGAAAACTTCAGCGAACATTACTTCATGATATGTAAGTTAATTGTTTAAAACTCAAAAGGAAAGATACCTGAAAAATAAGAGTGCCAATTGTAACTTGAACATGAAGAGCATTGTTACTATTCCGCTCCACCAAAAACTTAATTACCTGGTAAAAAGGTGAGAATAACTAATGAATCATTCTTGGAATCTGTTGCAATATTAATAACAATACATATTGGCTTATAAAAAAAAACATATTTTAAGTTTCTAAAATTGGGGTGAAGGCATACCACTGCTGTGGATGACATTGAAAGAAAGGAACCAACAAAAACACCCTCAGACAGTTTTCCTCCGCATAACTGCAAAGAAAATATCCAATATAGTTTAGTGTCAACTACAGCACAATTGTACGGAAGACCACGTCAGCCAAAGTCAGCCCCATACCATGGCAAGAATTCCGCAAAGGAACATGAATATTACAATTTGAAGCAGTCCTCCAAGAACAGCAACAGGCCCCACAGCTTTTAACTGAATGGAAAAAAATTCAAAACAGATTATTATTAAAAAAAGGAAATGGAAAGAAAGTTTTAGCAATCCAGGAATAGCAAACCTTTGCTAGGGAAAACTCCAGCCCCAAAGCAAAGAGAAGAAACACTACCCCAAATTGAGCAACAGTCTCAACCTGTAAAAAAGCATTCAGAAAAAAACAGTTAACATCATTGAGTGACAATGAGAATTGAGAAACTTTACAGCTTATATTGAACTTCAAAGTTCAAAAACCCAATCGACATATTATTCTTGATGGTTTCTTTAATAGATGGCGCAGTCAGTCACGGACTACGATAGCTTATTCTATATGCAGTGTTGCTGATGTAGATCGGTTTAGCTTCAATGTAGAGGGCATCTTGGTAGTTTTCAAATGATAATTTCATTGGATTTTGAAGTACCTACTACCTAGTTAAGATCTGTATTTTCATTCCGATATGCCTATATCATAAATATGGGATTAGTAGTAACTAGTAACAAAGAAGATTCTCCGTCCTTGTACAAGTCAAAATCATGATTTAAAAATTTTATTTAAGTCTTAATTAGCTTTGTTTGGGGCTAATCAACCCAGCATAGTACCGGACAACAACTAATTGAACCCATAATATTATCATTACTAGTTCTTCACATACCTGTACCATTTCACTGATGAATTTCAAACCCCCTGGTCCAATAAGGGAGCCTGCAAGAAGATACCCCACAATAACCTACATGTATGAAAAAAAGTAGATGTAATCCAACACTCTGCATAGGTCACTTATCACTGAGGTAAACTCAAATAGATCATATCATGTGACTAAAATAGAACTCTAGGAAACAGATGTTGTAAGAAGGAATAGTAACAACTACAGACCGGTTGCCCCAAACAGGAAAAGACTATTCCACCGATGGCCGCAGAAACTATGATGACCACCAAATCTGATATTAGCCTGCACGGATGTGAAATTACACAAATTTCAAAAATAAAGAGCAAAACATTAACATCCAAGAACATAAATTCATAAATCATAACTTTGACCTAAAGGAAACAATAATTGTTCAAAATCTAAAATAAATTCATCATCGTAAGATACCTTCCTTCTTTGTTTTATGCATACAAAACCCAAGGAACAAAATAAGAAAACTATAAGCCCATTTACTTTCCAAATGAAGAAAAGAAGGCAAAATAGAGAGCAACATGACTGACTACTTGATGGTTCCCAACACTTACAGTCTACACAGCATTAGAAATTAGCCCAGAAACGAAGAGTGCTATCCAAATCTAAAGCAATTTATAATACAATCGACTATTGTTCAACTAGTCAACCAAGCTAATAAAGATTTCCATGAATATTAATTATAAAGTCAAAAATCAAAATAGATATCAACCTCAAATCCACTTGAAGCACAGGATATTTGGATTTCTTGTTTGACATCACAAAGACATTGTCCTGTCATGCAATAGCATAAACAAGTAAGAAGGTTCAACCATGAAAAATTATAGCTAATAAGAACCCTGAAGGCTTCAGATCACTTTAAGCACACCTTTTTGTCAATCAAAGTTGTCACATCATCAGAATCTTCATTTTCCAGAGAGAAGACATCTTGAAACTGAAATGATCTTGTGCCACTGAGGAAAATAAACATCCAAAAATAATTACAGTTATGGCATACAAATAAAATAACATCCCAGTATCCATTGTAAATAGAAACCATGAAACTACAACACGTGATCATACTTTCCCTCACGCGTATCATTTCTCTTAGCTTTATCATGAGTAATTTTAGCTACAGTCTCCAATACTGCCTGCAATAGAAGACCTGAATGTCAAAACTCATCTTTTCCTTTAAAAAACTGATGGCAATGATGATATTTACATGAAAATCCGCTTAACTAGTGAAAATGGTAAGTGTTAGATTATCTCACAGCATACTCAGCATATTTTAGACTAATTTTAGACTACCTTGTTTTAAGTTTTATTATTGGTTCTCTTGTTTTGATTAGATTTAGTGGTCGTAATGTATTACATTTGGGATTATACTTGTAGCACTACACTTGTTCTAAACCTAACTACTAGTATAACTATGACCACAGTGTTACTACGTTTTTTATTACATCCCCATACATAATATCAATATAATAATCTTATCGATTTGAGTATTGCTTCACCCTCTTTTCCAACTACAGCACCAATGAAACACCAGCTAGTGTTCAAAGGATTTGAAATGGATATGATCCCAGACATAAATTCATTTCATTTAACATGTATCATATAAATTTAAAATTGACAGGTATATAGTCCAGTAATCATTTATACACAATGAAACACCAGCTAGTGTTCAATGAAAACAACTACTCCAACACCACCTTTGAAAATCAGAGTATCAGACCTACCTGCTGATCAGCTACACTGTTATTGAAGCTGTTTTTATCAGGTTCTGTTAAAGAAGGAAAGGATCAATGAGATTAGTTGTCAAACTAAATAAAACAAACATATGATTATGATATAAGCTAAATGATTCACTTTTAAAATGCTAACAATGATTCTAGAGTTTAATCTAACAAACAAACTCTAAAAGTTGAGCTAACAATTTAAAATAAAAGAGAAGAAAGTAATAGTTCAACTATTAAATAATAAAAGTACATTAACTATTATAAAAAAGGAAATGTTATTGGGATAAAGGACAGATCATATCCATGCCATACCGATACCAATGTATACATGCATGGCATATACATTTAAAAATATAAAAGGTATTCTTCATAAGTGCTGTGTGATTAAATGTAAGGCGGTGAGAGGGAAAAGCAAATTTTTGTGCATCTCTCAACATCATTTAAAGCTCAAACATGTCTCTCAAGTCTCAACAGGTAAAGCACATCTCTCCACTATGACTTACTTTCAATTTCTAAATTTGGAGCAGTACAGTGCATCAGATCTAGATGCAATTAGTACTCTACGATCAACTAAGAGAACTATAGCACAACATGACTCCATTATCCAAAAACAGTTGTGAACAATTAAATCTACCTACAAGCCAACCTCCGCTGCTTGTGCTCACTCGTCTCTTTCGTTAGTTGTTTCATTCCAAGTCTACAATTTCAATCATAAATTTTTCCAAATCACTAAAAAGCTAACCTGAAGGTTCTCGTGTACAGCATATTTTCTTCCATGCAAATACACACCCTCTCCCAATAAGTGAAAGAAAACAAAACTTTACCCATTTAAAGTAAAGGGAACACTTTAGGGCGTAAGACATGTTTGATGAATGCTAAACACGATGACACTCCTATGAATCTTAATGCCAAACTTCTAAAAATCAGGGGAAATAACTTTAAAATTCAAAGATATAGAAGACTAGTACGCAAACTAAACTATCTCACAATCACTCGTTTAGATTTTTCACTGCCGTAAATTAGATGATGTAACAAAGCTCTGTTGTGGAATACATCCAAACTTATTCACACGTCTTCTTGATTTTTCTCTTCTGCAATAAATTGTACAGAACTAACTTGAGATCCTAAAGAAGTGCAAGCACAACTATAATGTTGTTAAAATGTCAGCTAATAATTTAAAATAATCATGTTCATAACCCTCCACTTTAACACCCTCAATTTTAAGAACTCATATCCCATTTTCTACGTGGTACTCATACATCAGCACTACATTTCATATTGATAGTAGTAAGTGATAGTTGTTGGTGTTAACGACAAGACACCAACACATGTGTTAACATTCAACCGACCAAGTACATATTCCCTTTTGCTTATACTTAACACTATTAGAAATGTTTCACAAAATATTATCAGATTAAGTGTTAGTGTCAGTGCTGTGTTTGATATTCCCATATATCCTTCATATACACCTCTGAAAAAGGTGTGTCTTTGTGACGGTGTGCGAAACCGACACTGATATTTGTGATTACCGGTGTCGCCAGTGTCTCGTAGTAGCCCATTTTCCATTGAATATTCAATCAAACAAAAGACAAATATATAGATAGTACTCCAGAACTTCCAAGTTTAGCTAAACCACTAACCTATTTTTCACTTAGTAACAATAAAAAAAGTCGCAAACTTTACCTACCGAATAAAACTATGATCACAAAAAACCAAACAAAAAGAAAAAGGCAAAATTAAATTAAAAATGAAAAACCTTCAGGTGTATCATTCTCAGAAAACTCCTTCTCAAGAACACGATCGAACATCTTAGCCAAAGTCCCATCATTGGATTCCGGCGCGGACGAATTAAGCATATTACCATAAAACCTATCCCTCGTTTCCTTATCGGATCTAGCAGGAGAACAAACCCTAGCACAGATCACGATGCAGATAACGCAAAACCAGAAGTCAAGCACAGTAGAATATTTGTTCGCCATTTATGTGAGTTTGGGTTTAGGGTTAAATTGAGGAATTTGATTTAGCGATAAACATGAAGATTGTCGAAATGGAAAAGGAAGATAGTGAATGAAAATGGAAATGGTCTTTGATTTTAGGTTCTTGTGTTCTCTGCTGATGTCGCTTCTCTAGTTAGTTGTTGTGGGTGTATGTACGGTGACACTATGGCTTTGAAATTATTTTGTATATATATTTCGTTAATGACAGAACAAAATTGCATTAGGGGCTTTCATGTAAATTTGTCAACATTTTATTTTATTTTATTTTCTCACAACTAGTATAATTTGGTCACGGAATCAATTTTGTCATCTACTGATTTCTACTCCCTTCTGATCATAGTTGTGAGGATTTAAAATATTTTATTTTTCATTTTAAAACATTTAGATGGTTTTGAATTTAAAAGTCATTTGAATTTTAAAAATAAATTATGATTCAGTTGATTTTAAAAAATAAAATAAAATAAAGCTAAATCAAACTAATGCAATTTATGTTGGTATTGTTTGTTTAATTTTTTACGAGATTTCATCAAGGCATACATACACATGTGTAGTTGATTTCACTTAAGACCATGTGCAATTGTGTGTTTAATTGAACTCAACATGGCAAAATCATGTGCAATGGTGTGTTTAGAGTAGTGTTGAGTGTGTGTTGGAGGAGAGAGATGTTGAGAAAACTCAACACCATGTACACTGACGCATGGGCTGACGTGGCAGCGGCTGGTTGGCTGACCAGATTTTTATCCATTTAATACTTTGAACTCAATTATTTCGTTGCAAATTAATTAATTTTTTTTTAATCAAAATTCATGATTTTTTTTTCTCTATAAATAGAGACTTGGTTCATTTGATTTGAACACAAAAAAAAACTAAGTTTTTCACTATCTTAATTTTATTATTAGTGTTTATTTTGAAGTTAAGTGTCTTTTTTTAGTGAAATGGATCCCAATAATCATTTTAACACTCAAAATTCTGCTAATTTTCCATTTAACCAAAATCCCAACAATTTTCCAAATCCCAACAATTATCAAAAAATTAAAAATCAATACAATTTTCCATTAAATAAATTTTGTTTTTATTACAAAAAATTAAAAAATAAATTATTAAGTATTTATTATTTTAATTTAATTTTAATCGATAATTGTAATTTTATGTAATCATAAAAATAAAAATAAAATTTAAATAAGAATATGAAAATAAAAAGTGGTGGGGTATGATGTTGAATGAAAAACCATTGGAGAGGGTAAAAGTTGAATGGGTGTTGAGTTATTAGGTGGAAGAAAGAGAAAATGATGTGGAGTGTTGGGAGTTGAAAAAGTGGGTGTTGAGTTTTTCAACCATTGTAAATGATCTAATAGAATAAGATTTAATTCAAGTAATATATACATACACATAGAGGATTGAACAAAACTGAAATAAAATATATAAAATAATAGCATAAAAGTACTTGGATGAGACGATAAGGGATCTCTTCCAACACAATTAGAGGTTTTTAGTTTGATATCGGGTCTAGACATGTAGAAGTGTTAAATTTTGTTGAAAATTTTTTTTGCTATTTATTATAATACCCAACTCAAAAGATTAATCTCTATAATTGTGTAGAGAAAATATTCAGTTTCTATCAAAAATAATATAAAAAATATTATAATTTAAAAAAATAAAAGTAACCGTAAGATTAAGACCGGAGATTAGTTTGACTTTAGATTTAATGTGAGTTAAAGAGAAATTTTAATTATATATTAAATTCAATCGCATAATTCTGTTAAAAATGGCTTAAGAATTTTATTATGTTTTTTATTTGATTAAGAATTTTTTATTGGAAAGTTCAATTTTTAATGCTCCGAACTTGTTTTGAACACTCCTATTTATAATTTGTTTTTGTAGATATATTTTATTCTTTAGAAAAGATCAATAAATTCAAAATCATGCTAAAAAGTTAAACAGCTTTTGGTATAAGCTCCTTTTCCAACTTCCTAAGTTGTTTAGAATGGAAGAAAAGCATGCCTTTCTTTTTTTAGTAATAATAATTTTGCTTCAAAGACAAATATTAAAAATTCTTTAAAATAAGTTTGTATATGATAAAATTATATTGAAATTTTTAAAAGTTGAACGTACAATTTAAAGAAAAAAATTTATTTAATTTTTTAACATGTACTATAAAGACATTTATTAAAAAAAATTAATTTTATTGGTTGTGCTTGTGCCTCTTTCTTTCGAACAATTTTTTATTTATAAGCGTTGAATTTAGTTTTGCCTTAGAATTACCATAATGTTTTTTTAAGAAAAATTAAATTTTGCATAAAAAAAAAAGTTAAATTTTATTCCTTCTCAATTCTTATTATAAAAAAATATTTAAAAACCTGTTACTATTTTTTAAAAGTTTTACTAGATATTTCTCTATTGAAAAATGTGAAATAGTAACTATATTTATTAATATTAATGACAAATATTTGAAAAGAAACAAATAAATTTTTTAAATGTTTCTTCTATTGTAAATTATAAATTAATTTGTGTTATCGTACGAATTCTGTCTGGATTTATATTAAACGTGTATCAAATTATCATTCGTAAAGTATGAATTCATTATTTAATTAGTTAACATTCAAATAGTTATAAATATATGTTAATAATATACAACATTTTAAGTATTGATTCGTATTTATAATAAATCGTATATTTGATTCTCTAACTTCAACTATATAAACAACATCAAAAGAAAGATTAAAAAGATGAACCTTAAAATTAACAGTCTATATCTAGTATCTCATAGATACGTTCACATCTACTTATGTAAAAACAATACAATTATTTATTTTAATAGTAGAATTTTGTTCAACTATAAATTTTTTGTATCAGCAGTACACATTTCCCGTTTATTAAAAAACAACGAATCATTCCAGCAAAACCGAATTAGCTCAAATATTGATCACATAGTCCATATTCATAAAAAAGAATAAGATGACAATCATAAATGATTTACAAATGTCAGAAATAAATTGAAAACATGTCATCATCAATTCAACAAAATGAACACATTTCTATAAGAGATGGAGCCCAAGAAAAATATAAGCGCTTAAAACCCCTGCTCAGATACATTTGTTGGATACAATATAAAATTTAATTAAATACATGTGTAAATTTAAAATAAACACTATCATTTAATCTAAATAAGTTATTGATGTTATTGAATGTCTCTCGTCTGATTTCACATCACACGTCTATCAAACCATCATTTATAAAATTTGAATTCATTCTTTAATTTGTTAATATTTACGTAGTTATAAATATAGGCTAATAATATGCATCGATTTTAATCATTGTTTCGTATTTATAATAAACTGTATATCTAATTTTCTAACTTTAATTATATAAACAACAACAAAAAAAAGATTTAGAAGTGGACATTAAAATGAACAGTCTACAGCTGACATCTCATAGATACGTTCACATATACCTGCTGATTTAGTTATGTGATGACACCGAAAGATTTAAAGGTTATTTTTTATACTCTAAAGATAGATATATTAATTTTATATTTTGTTAATGGTTTTTGTTGAATATTTTATCATGTATTTTTTTCGGTTAATTAAACATATGCAATAATATGCCATAAACACATGATTTTTATGTTTGTGATACTAATAATATCTATATCTTCTATTTATAAAGAAGGATAATGCCCTTTGACTGTTATTGTTTCAATCTCATCTTTGCAATTCATTTTGTATTTGTTTGTTTCCAAAAGAAATTGAAGAAAAAAAATAGTAACTAAAAAAAATTTGATGGTGTTTTAAAAATATAACTTTTGTGAATCAGTTTTTTATTCTCTTAAATTTGAAATCTCCCTTTGAAAGAGCTAAAACTATTACTTCCCACATTTGTTTGACACAAAAAGAGAATTAAAAAAACATGTGGTCAAGAACCTTCTTATAAAAAATCAAACAATTTATTTCCTTGAACTTGCATTGTTTTGACCAGAACCAGAATTAAGGTTAAGGTCAAAATTGGTATTTGGACAATGATTTTCGTCATTCTTTGAAAGCTTCTTCTTCGACTCGCATAATAGTTGATGATTTTTTTCATTCAAAAGTTGTGTTTTCTTCCTCAACCTCTTATTTTCTTTCATTATGTAAGAGTTCTGTAAGTACAATTTTGAGTTCAATCTTTCCATTTCTAAATTTCACAACTTTGTGCAAAACTATCCTAAAAAATCAATAAGAGTTTAAATTAATAATTTAAAAAAAAAAACATTTTTTACTAAAAAATAAATTTATGAAACAAAACAGTAGTATCGCATATCATTGTTGCGTCTATCTTCAAGCTCAATTTTTCTTTTCTGAATTTTAGGTAAAACACTTGGGGTAAGCAAAAATTTGCATGATAGTATCACTATCACACTTCTTAGGCAGCATTGAACTTTAAAAACCGATAGAGTAATATAATATATTTTCATATTCTATTTGAACTTGAGTATGAAATCGCTATTGATTGAGCTCGTCTAAAACATAACATGAGATGCAAATTAATAATACTCCAAATTGTTGACAAATGATGTACATTCTAAATAACAGTTAAGTAATAAGTAATAGTTAAGTAAAAGAACAACACCTAAGGAATAGCACAAAAGCGAAATGTAGAGGGGTCACGTAATGTAGACATATATTTTAAGCTAACTTCAGCATGCAACAAAGAATTAGTGACCATGTCGTATAAGCATTGCACGATCTTAACGGAGTTTTCCTCGTATCAACAAACAACTCTAATTTGGAGCAAATAACTGAGAACATGACCTAAAGAATCAACATCCAAAGAAGGTTAAAGTAATCTCTAAAAGGTACTCCCTCTGTCCCAAAATAAGTGTCGTTTAAGATTCTTGCACTCAGATTAATAAAAATAATGATTGAGTCAATAAAGATAATATTTTTACAAAATTACCCTTTAATTACTATTGATTATTATATATTGTCATAACTTTAAAAAAAATGTAGATAAAAGGTAAAATTGGTAAAAGTTAATTAATATTGCATTGAGAAAGCAAATAGACTATTATTTTGGACAACTTTTTATGTCTAAAAAGACACTTATTTTGGGACAGAGGAAGTACTAATCAAGTAATAAGGAAAATATTCTGCATACTTATATACATGTGGATAAGCCCTTAAGGTCGTCTAATGAACACTTAAGGTCGTGTTTGGCATGTGGATAGGCATTTAATCAACGACATTGAACCAATGATGGATTGCAGGGCCAACTCTTGTGAAGCATTTGATATCAATTCATCTCAAAATAAAGCCTAAAGACAAATAACAGTGCATAATTTTCAAAAATAGGATCAAGTAACAGAAATAGTGTTATTTAGTTTTAAAAATAATACGAAAAAAAGGATCACCTCAAATCTACAATGCAACAACACATATAGTAACACCAAACTGCTCAAAGGCCAAATGAGCTCCTGCTCTTGATCCAGCATTTGAATATAAAGAACTGAAAAGAACCTCCGACGATGGTTGTGGCAACGTGAATAAGAAGGAGAAGAATTGAAACAGAATCACTAATTCAAATAACATTAATTTAAATTTTATTTATATCTAAATATATATCGACTAAAATTGAAGACAATGAATCAGGCTATTGCAAATGCATAATCAAACAAAAAATGACAGATCTAAAGGAAATTAAGGGGAGTATGGAGTAGGCACCTAGGAGAGCTCCAACACCTCAAAAACCTCAATGCCGCTTAAATCCACCATGATTAGAGCTCAATCGTGCACTTTCCAGAACCATAACACTGCTCCAGAAAATCACGCGGTACTCAATCAACGTGAATTTCTCTTGCTTTCTCTCCCGACACCGATTAGCAGCGGCGGGAGGTGGAACATTGTGGAGGAGGTGGAACATTGTGGAGGAATGAAGCGATCGAGAAAAAAAAGGTGTGCGAATGCACAGATTCAAATGATTGAGAGGTCGGTGAAATCGAAAAAGTGCGGCGGGGAAGAAATCTGCGGCGAGAAAATGCAAGAAAAAACGGTGTAGGAGAATCTAGGCAGAAGTATGATCTGAAAAAACATTTGCAGAAAAAAGAGAAATGGATTTTAGAGAGAGAAAGTGAAGAAGAATTATTATTATATCAAAAATCGTAAAAAAGAAAAAGAAGAAAAAAAGAAATATGGTGTTGTTTCTATGAATACAGAGAGTAATATACGATAACATTAATACAATTACGGTTATTTGAAAGTGTCTCTTCATATTCTAAAGATATGCACGGGAGTACTAATCTATAAGAAGCTGCGTTTGTAGTTATTTAAAATAAAAAGTGTCTCTTTATATTTGAAAGATATGCATGTACTCATAGTAAAGAAAAAGATATTAGGTTTATGTTTCAAATGTTGTATTAGTGGAGCTATTAAGTTAAAATTGATTAAAATAAAAAATAATAATGTATTAAAATGTTATAGGCTAACACGTCAACTACATTAGTTGTCAAAAATATGTAGTGATAATAGTGTTACAAAAAATCATATTTGTCTTTGGAATAAAAAAAAAGATATAACTTAGAGTCAGGGGGATAATTAGTACATTTTTAAATACTTTGATTTTTATAGATAAATAATAAATTTATTTTATGATTTTAAAACAACATTAATAATTTTCTTTAATATATTTTCTACTATTCATTACACTCTCTTTCTTATTTTCTAATTATTTTTATTTTTACATATTAATAAAGAGTAATATTATAAAATTATATGTAATTTTTCTTTTTCATATAAAATTAATTATACATTTTAATTAGAGAAAATAGGCAATGCACAACACTGTCAACCAATCACAACATTGTATCAGAATATTAATTTTAAAATTCTTTTAATAATAAGATATATTGTAGACTTTCTACTGAATAACAGTGTAAAATAATTTTACAATGTCAATATTATCAATATAGGATAGAGAGTAATAAATAATATGTTTTTAAATCAAAATACTAAAAAGTACTTCTTAAATAGTTTTATATATAACTTTTAAAGAAAAGGTCATCTTAACATTAAAAAAGAAAAACATCTATAACTTTTTATTTTTATCATATAAATCAACCTACACTTTCCACTTGGTGGTTAAAAACTCTCGATCATGAATTAGTTTACAACAGTGTAAAATCAACTACCAACTTTTTTTAAGTTTTCCGTTGTTTCTCAACTACTGCAATAGATAAACATAAATACGGCAAAATAAGATTTTAAGAAAAATTTATTTCGTACCGTTACAATTATAATTATACTCTTACAATTTTTCAATACTCTTTAATACTTTTAATCAATTTATCATTTCATTTTTATTATTCATCAAATAATCTAAATTTTACATTCTTATATATACGCCCCGGAACACTTTCAAAAAGTATTTCGATATCATAATTTAAAAAAAAAAACAGATTCATTACTTTAGGTTACACCGTGGCTAAAACATCTTTAACAGTTTTTTAAATCGAAACACTTTCAAAAAGTATTTCGATATCTTAATAATACTCTCAACCGGAACAATTTTAAAAAGTGTTCCGGTATGATTTTTTTTTAAAACGGTTTTGTTATTTTAGGCTACGGTTTTCAACCGTTGCTAAAATCTTTAGAAATTTTTTAAAACCAGAACACTTTCAAAAAGTGTTCCGGTATCTTAATAATGCATGTGTTTCGAAACACTTTATAAAAGTGTTCCGGGATGGTAAACAATATCGTTATTTTAGGCTACGCTTTTGAACTGTTGTTAAAATTTCTTTAGCAATTTTTTAAACCGAACCAGTATCTTAATAATACACTCAACCGGAACACTTTTAAAAAGTGTTCCGGTAAGATAAATTTCTTTTAAAAAAGTTTTGTTACTTTAGGTCATAGTTTTTAACCGTTGCTAAAACTCCTTTAGCGGTTTTTTTAATTGGAAAACTTTCAAAAAGTGTTACGGTTTGTTACAATACATATCAGAAGACTTTCTTTAAGTCTTCCGGAACGCATGCGTAGGGGTGCAAAATTTAGATTTTTTGGTGAATATTAAAAAGTGAAATGGTAAATTGGTTAAAATATTGAAGAATAAAAGTGACATTTTTAAAAAATTGCAGGGGTACAAGTCTAATTGTAGGAGTACAAAGTAAAATTTTCAAATTTTAGACGGAATCTTTCTTTCTTTTTATGCCTATTTTCGTTAAGGTTTCGTAATTGACAAAAAAAAAATTGATCAATAAAAAAATTCAGCTTCCATTATCTATTGCAATATTATTTTGACTGGCACATAGATATTAATTATAACAATTTCTCTTTACACTTTTATATATTTTTCAAGGTATGTGACGAAATGTCAAAAATATTTTTTAGTTTTAGAGATATCTCTCCGAATACATTAAATCCCTCTTTTATTTACTAAATCAAATTTAAAGATGTAAACGCGAAGTCTTTTTAGAATGTGTTCAGAGATACCGAACATGACCTTATTTCAATAAACTCAAAAAACAGAAATACGCCAGAATCGAAATAAAAAACAAATCAACACCAACATCAACATTATATTAAATAAAAGCATTTGTTACATAGATAGTCATTAAAATAAAATCACCAATACATATTATTTTCATCGGGACGTTGCAACATAATGATTATATCTTTGACGAATCTTTGAATCTTCGCATCCACTTCAATCGAACCCTTTGATTCATAACGGAGAAAAAATAATTTACATAACCTTTAAATATTCATTCATTTTCAGTTCAAAGTTGGTGAAATAGACATTTCCTTCATTGTCAAACGAGAGTGACTGATACTCGAGTTTGACAACTCTGCAATTTTTTGGAAAGCGTCGTAGAGTATTAAGTTTGAATAAAAGATATGTGAGGGATGTTTTCTCGGTGACCCTAAACGAAAGTGTCAGCGTCTCACCATTGAAACACACAAATGTAAGGTGGGGATATGAATTCATTATCTGGTTTTAGTGTGTTGTGTAGAAAATAAGAGTTGAGACTAGACACGGCAAATAAACTCGCTCCCGTCAGGCCCCGACCGCCCCCGCACTGAAATTAGCAGGGAAAACCCGGTTTAACCGGGGGCGGGTGTGGGGAAAATTCGATTTTTATTTACAGGGGCATGGGCGGGTGATGTTAATATTCGCCTTGCACCTGCACCCACCTCGTATCCGCCAATTAAATTTAACTTATTTAATTTTTTTAATAGTTTTATTACTCATTTACACTTTTTAATGTTATAATATCATATTTATTAAAATTATTATTTATTTTTTTGAAAATTCAATTTAAATAAAAATATTAAACATAAAAATGCTTTTAAAATAATTAATTATTTAGTTTATTTATTAATTTTTATTTTTATTTAAAAAATATATATAAATTAATAAAAATTTAAAATTTTATTCGGCCGGGTGCGGGGCGGGTGCGGGGAAACCTATTTCTTGTTGGGGGATGGGGCAAGGGAATAAATATTAGCCTCGACCGAGTTTGGGGGCGAGTGCGGGTCTGAGTCTAGGTTGCGGGCGCGGGTCTGGTTGTGCTTAAACCCGCCCCCGACCCGCACCATTGTCATTCCTAGTTGAGACACACCCTATTTATACTAGTATTGGTTACTTTGAACCTCAAAAACCTTATCATGTATCAGGCAATATTTTAGAAATACAGCAGCTGTCAGTTTTATCTTTTTAGGGGCACCTTTGGTTTTAGGGGCATCCTATTTGACATTGTTACGTACATCGGCTTTGGGGAAATATCTGGGTGAACCATATTTAATAAGTTGTTTTAATGATACTTATATTTTCATATTTTTCTTGTAGATTACCATGACAACAAACACCTCTAACAACATTTTACGATCAATCCTTGATAAGAAAAAGTTGTCTGGGACAAATTTTCTGGATTGACACCGAAATCTGAGGATTGTCCTCAAGCATGATAAGAAGTTGTATGTATTGGAGACACATATTCCTGAAGTAGAACCTCCTAGTTCTGCACCTAAGGCAGAAAGAGATGATTATAAGAAGCATGTCGATGATGCCAATGAAACCGCTTACCTTATGCTAGCTACCATGAACTCAGAGTTGCAAAAACAGCATGAGAACATTTCAGCATTCGATATGATCGGACATCTGAAGATGCTCTATCAAGAGTAGGCAAGAAATAAGAGGCTTCATGTTTCAAAGGTCCTTTTTAATAGCAAGTTAGTTGAGGGAACCCCTGTAGGTCCCCATGTACTCAAGATGATTGGGTATGTGGAGAACCTTGAAAGGTTAGGGTTTCCCCTTGGAAAGGAACTTGCAACTGATTTGATCTTGCAATCATTGCCAGAAAGCTTCAATCAATTTGTCTTGAATTTCAACGTGAATGACATGGACAAAAGTCTTCCAGAGTTTCTAAGCACGTAAATAACTGCTGAGCAAAATGTGAAGTCAAAAGGGAAGTCCATTCTAATGGTCAGTAATGGAAAGAAGTTGAATAAAAGGCCCACCAAGCAGGTTGGTAAAGGGAAAGTCAAGGAAGTTGTCAAACCTAAACCTATTGTTCCTACTTTGAAGCCTGGTGGAGGAATAGCAAAAGAGGGTACTTGCTTGCATTGCGGTAAGAATGGACACTGGAAGAGAAACTGCCCAAAGTACCTAGAAGATAAGAAGAATGGAGTAGAGACTTCAAATTCAGGTATTTTTGTCATAGAAATTAATTTATCTACTTCTGCATCATGGGTATTAGATAGTGGATGCGGTTCTCACATTTGTACCAATGTGCAGGGGCTAAAAAGGAATAGAGATTTGGCAAAAGGTAAAGTTGACCTACGAGTTGGAAATGGAGAAAAGGTTGTCGCTTTAGCCGTAGGAACTTATGTTTTGACTTTACCTAGTGGTTTAAGAATTCAGTTAGAGAACTATTATTATGTACCTGCAATTAGCAGGAATATTATTTCTGTTTCTTATTTGGACAAGTTTAGTTTTTCATTCATAATAAAGAACAGTTGTTGCTCCATTTACTTGAATGATATTGTAATACGGTGGGAGAA